CCTCCGGCCTGGGTCCCCAGAGCAGCCTGGGCACAGGGTGGGCCCCAATGCCCTCAGAGGCAGCCCTGGGTGGGGGGGCCCTCTTGGCCGGCACCAGGGACCCCAGGATCCCGGCCAAGGGGACCCCAGGATCCCGGCCACAGGGATCCCAGGATCCGGGCCACCGGGGACCCCAGGATCTCAGCCACCGGGGAAGAAGCCGCTCAGAGGCCTCCCTGTCCGACAGTCTGACCAGCCCAGAGGCCTCAGCCAAGGTGCTGGCAGCCGTGACGCACACGCTGACCCAGTACCCCTTCGACTTCCGTGGTGCCCGAATCCTGTCAGGCCAGGACGAGGGAGTGTTTGGCTGGGTGACCGCCAACTACCTGCTGGAGAACTTCATCAAGGTGGGCCCGGGGCCAGCCCCCAAGCGGGGTGCGAGCGCCCAGCCCCGGCTGACCCGGCCTCCACCCCCCACAGTACAGCTGGGCCGGCCGGTGGTTCCGGCCGAGGAAGGGGACGCTGGGGGCCATGGACCTGGGAGGCGCCTCCACGCAGCTCACCTTCGAGGTGGCCAGCCCCGCAGAGGACCCGGCCAATGAGGTCCAGCTGCGGCTCTACGGCCAGCAGTACCGCGTCTACACCCACAGCTTCCTCTGCTACGGCCGCGACCAGGTCCTCCAGAGGCTGCTGGCCAGCGTGCTCCAGGTGCCCACGCCCCGCCCCCAACCCCTGTGCCCTGCCGGAGGGAGGGAGGGAGGGAGGGGACGAGGGGACGGGGCCACGGGCACAGGGCAGAGCCAGACAGCCGCCACTCTACCTGGGACCCACGGCAGGGAGTGACCCAGTGTGGGCCAAGGCTCAGTGGCCGGGGGAGGGCCTGGGGAGGGCCAGGTGAGGGAAGCAGGGCCAGGGCCAGACCTCAGAGGGCCTGGAGTGCCTGGCCAGGGGTTTGGTTTTTGCCAGGGGCAATGGGGCGCCATGAATTGCTCTTGAGCACAGAAGTGACGTCACCAAGTGGGCTGGTGGGAGATCCATCAGGCTGGGGAGGCCCCCAGGGTCCGGGGGTGGGCAGTGCTTAAAGTGGGGTGGTGAAACCCCACCTTCATCGGCTCCCAGACCCGCCGCCCTCACCCCTGCTGGCCGCGGGGCTACTCCACTCACGTGCTGCTCCGGGACGTGTACGCGTCACCATGCACCGAGGCCCAGCGGCCCCAGACCTTCAACAGCAGCGACAGGGTCGGCCTGTCCGGGGGCGGCGACCCCGCCTTCTGCCGCAGCCTCGTCTCCGGGCTCTTCAACCTCTCGTCCTGCCCCTTCTCCCGATGCTCCTTCAACGGAGTCTTCCAGCCGCCCGTGGCCGGGGACTTCATCGTGAGTCCGGGATGGGGATGGGGGCGGCTGCCCGGCAGCGCCCAGGCCGGGGCTCAGGGTGACCGCACGCCCGCAGGCCTTCTCCGCCTTCTTCTACACCGTGGACTTCCTGCGGACGGTGATGGGGCTGCCCGTGGCCACGCTGCAGCAGCTGGAGGACGCCGCGGTCACCGTCTGCAGCCAGACGTGGAGTGAGGTGAGGCCAGCCGCTCGGCCCCCCGCGCTCATTCGCTCCAGAAGTCGAGGGGAGCCCAGCTGGCGGGGCTCAGTGGTTGAGCGTCGACCTATGAACCAGGAGGTCACGTCCACGGGCCAACGCTCTGTCCACTGAGCCAAACCAGCTAGAGCTGGGCCTTCGTCTTTCTACCCACATTGCCGTGTGTGCGTGTGCGTGTGTGCGCGTGTGTGTGCGCGTGTGTGCGCGCGCGCGTGTGTGTGTGTGTGTGTGTGTGTGTGTGTGTGTGTGGTGCAGCACCTGGCTGGCCCACACCCCACCACCCCACCTCCTGGGGCCCGGACCTCCTGGTAGCCAGGGCCTAACATCGCCCACCTGTGTCCCAGCTGCTGGCCCGGGCACCGGCGGCAGAGGCCCACCTGCCCAACTACTGCCCCATGGCCATGTTCGTGCAGCAGCTGCTGAGCCTGGGCTACCGCTTTGACGAGCACGCCTTCAGCCGGGTGACCTTCCAGAAGAAGGTGGGCGCTGGCAGAGGGCCGGGGCGGAGGGTGGGCCGGGGCGGAGGGGGCCTCCGGGCTGCGTGGAGGCTGAGGCTGTGCCCCTCACCCCAGGCCGGGGACACGGCGGTCGGCTGGGCGCTGGGCTACATGCTGAACCTCACCAACATGATCCCCGCTGACCCGCCGGGGCTGCGCAAGACCACGGCCTTCAGCTCCTGGGTGGCCCTCCTCCTGCTCTTCACTGCCCTGCTCCTGGCCGCGCTGGTCCTGCTGCTGTGCAAGGCCCGGCCCGCCAAGCCCCCCAGCGCCATCTAGGGACCTGCTGGGGGCGGCTGCCGCGGCCCCGTGTCCCCTGTCCCTCACCTCACCCCACACTCAACATCGCTGCCCTCAGCAGCCAGGAAACCGGGTGGGGATTCCAGCACCCACTCCCACGGGCCCGGGGTGGGGCAAGGGCACACGATCCAGCCCCTGCAGCCGGCTCATCACAGGCCTCCTGCCCCTCCTGCCACTGAGGGTGGGTCATGCCGACACCCACAGCTGCAACCACAGGTGGGCCTCGGGGAAGTGGAGCCTCTATTCCTATCCTTGGGGCCCTCAGACCCCCCCAGCGGGTATGTATTAGGGGAGGGTCTGCATTAGGGGGAGGGTCTGCATTAGGGGGAGGGTCTGCATTAGGGGGAGAGTCTGTATTAGGAGCCCACAGGCTGGGAGCCGCCCTGCGCCTACTTGTAACATTTTGTAATAAAAAGTTTGTCCTAAAGAAGTGCCTGCCCTCCCTCCCCACAGCTGTGCTGGCCACGCAGCCCCTCCCGGTCCCCAGGGTGGCCCTTGGCTCTCCCCACTTCCTCTCCGCGTTCAGACCTGGGGCGGCGCTGACCACGGCCCCCTGCTCCTCAGTCCTGGCCTGGAGCAGCTGCTGGCTGGCCAGAGGCCCTGGGGTTGTCTCCGGCCAGCAGAGCCCCTGCAGCACCCGACCTGCCTCAGTGACCGAGGCCAGACTGCAGGCTGGGCCCGGCTGAGAGTGGGCCTGGGGTGGGGGTCGGGGAGTGGAGATGTGAGAGGGCAGGTCGTGGGCAAGGCAGGCGCCAGGGTCCAGGCGGAGCTTAGAGACTGGAGGAGGGGCAGACCCTGAGGTTGGTGGGAGTGGGGATGTGGAGCTTAGGGAGGGTGGGAGGGGCGCTGGGCTCCATCTCCCGGAGGGAGGGGCCTGGTGGAGAGCCTGGCTGTAGAGCCCAGCGGGTGGCGAATGGAGCCAGCTCACCTCCTGAGGATACTTTTCCACACCCCAGACCCAGCTGCACCCACCTGCGCTCCTGCAGGCCTCCCCTGAGTGTGGGAGGCTGGGGAGGTGTGGGGAGGCGGGGAGGCGAGGCGAGCCTCATGGGGAGGTGTGGGGAGGTGGGGAGGCGTGGGGAGCCTCATGGGGAGGCATGGGGAGGTGTGGGGAGGGGTGGGGAGCCTCATGGGGAGGCGTGGGGAGGGGTGGGGAGGCGTGGGGAGGGGTGGGAAGGCGTGGGGAGGGGTGGGGAGGCGGGAAGGCAAGGGGAGCCTCATGGGGAGGCGGGGAGGCGAGGGGAGCCTCATGGGGAGGCGGGGAGGCGTGGGGAGGGGTGGGGAGGCGTGGGGAGCCTCATGGGGAGGCGTGGGGAGGGGTGGGGAGGCGGGGAGGCGTGGGGAGGGGTGGAGAAGCGTGGGGAGCCTCGTGGGGAGGCGTGGGGAGGCTGGGAGGTGTGGCTGCGTCTCCTGCCTACCTGGGCTTTCCTGGGAGGTGAGCTCAGACGTTCTCTGTCTGGTCAGGCCTGTGTGGGAGGATAGCATCGCTGTTTTGCTCCCCCCACCCCGCACCCCACCACTCCTGCCAGTTTGTGAGCCGTTTTACTTGTTTGTTTGTTTGTTGCTAATCCTCACCCCAGGAAATTCTTCCACTGGTTTTGAGAGAGAGTGGAGGGAGGTGGAGAGACACACTGATGGGTTGCCTCCCGCACGTGCCCGACCACTGGTGGGTCCAGACAAACCTGCCGGCACAGGCTTAATGGTTCGGGAGCCCAGACCCCGGCCCAGCTCCGGGTGCTGGCTGTGCAGAATGGGGGCTGCAGCGCTCCCTGGAGGGCGTACAACCGAGGGCGCCCCTGGGCCAAAACGGAACCCGGGACCCTTCAGTTCACCGGCTGTCGCTCCATCCACTGAGCCAAAGCGGCCAGGACTTGGGAGCCCTTTTGAAACCCGAGGGCAGCCAGCCCCATCCTGCGAGCCCAGAGCCACCGAGGCCTGAGGGGGAGCCTGGGGTTGGGGGCCATCCTTGCTCCCTCAGTGGCGTGACCCGAGGGGAGTTTCCAGGTGGGTGGGGGGCTGTGCTCTCAGGAGGCGACCGGTGGAGTGCCACCCGGTGCTTGCTTGTCCCGAGCCCAGGGAAGAAGCCTGTCACCCGGGCACCGGGCACCGCGGACAGCTCCCGGCGGCTCCCGCGGGCTCTCCCAGCAGCTCCGGGCCCCCTGGCCCCCTGGCGGCTTCAGTGGAGAGCAGCTCCCCGTCCAGGCCTGGTGCCGCCAACGGCCTGGTGCTGCGCGCGTCCCAGTGCCAGTGCCGGGTGCAGCTTTGGGCACAGCTGTGCGCGCCTGGGCACCTGTCCACCCGTGCGCGCCTGGGGTCCCTGTGTTCCTGGTCGCCCGCGCCGCCAGACCCGCGCATGTCCCAGTCTCCAGTGGGTGGGGACGGAGTGCGAGTGGGCAGCCCCTCAGCGCGGGAGTGCGGGGCGGGGGAGCGCATGGGGGGGGGGATCCCATCTTCAGCCGGACTTGTGGGGAACAGAGAAGGTCCCCGCCGCAGAGGCCGCAGAGGCTGAGCACCCCGAGGCCCAGAGAATGGGGGACCCACGAGAAGTGGGGGAGGGGGAGGGGCGCGGAGTGGAGGCTCGGTCCCGCCCCGCAGGTGGGGCGCGCAGGCGCACTCCCCGCGCTGCCTCCCGGCGCCGCGCCCACAGCCGCGATCCTTTGCCGCAGCGTCCCCGCCGCCGCCTCTTGCCTCCTCCTCCTCCCGCTCCTCCCGCTCCTGCTCCGCGGCCGCCGCCTCCTCCGCCTCCGCCCCCGCGGCGCCGGGAGCCCGCGCCCAGCCCGGGCGGCGCTGCCATGCTGCCCCCGCGGCGCTGAAGGATGGCGACGCCCGTGCCCCCGCCCTCCCCGCGGCACCTGCGGCTGCTGCGGCTGCTGCTCTCCGGCCTCGTCCTCGGCGCCGCCCTGCGCGGGGCCGCAGCCGGTCCCCCGGGTGAGCGAGGGCGCTCGGTGCGGGGCGCCCGGGGGCGGGGGTCGTGCGCGCGGCGCCGCGTCCTTCCAGCGCCGCCGCCCTCGCCGGGCCGCAGGCCCCGCAGGCCAGGCCCAGCGCGCGGGGTGGGGCGCACAGGCCGGGGCCGCGGAAGGACTCCGCTGGACGGGGCTCGTCCCGGGATCCTGGTGGCCAACGCGAAGTCACGCGCTTCTTGTCTTTGTCCGTGAGCCTGCCTGCCTGTCTGTCTGTCTGTCTGTCTCAGGGGGCTCAGGGCCCGCGCCTGCTGTCAGCGGCTCGTCCTGTGCGCGCAGCTGGCGTGCGCATCTCGGGTTGCGCGGCGCGGGCCTGGCCCTGGTCTGCCCTGGGGCCATGGTCACAGGCCTGCGCGGTGCCGGGCGCGGGCCTGCTTTGCTGCCGTGACCAGGTCTGACAGTTCCCAAGGTCTCTGACAGCTCGACCGACCGACCGACCGAGGGTTAGGGTCCTGTTCTGGCTTCAGTGGGGGCAGGAGGGGCTTCCGGTTTCAAGCTTCCTCCCCACCCTCTGCCCTGGAGGACCCTGCAAGCTGCCTTCTGTGCTGGGGTCTGGGGGCACCTCCCAGGATAGACTCGAGCAGAGAGCCAGGAGCCCGGGGTCCTGGGAGACCCTCCCTGCTTCTCAGATGGGCACTGAGGCTCCAGGCGGTGGCGGCCTGCAGGGCCCCGGGTCCCCGTGGGCCAGACTGGGACACCCTGTGCCCACACATCCCCTCAGTCCTCCTGGCAGCCCCGCAAGGAGGTGCAGTTCTGAGCCCATTTTACAGACGAGCAGACGGAGGCACGGAAAGATTATGGGGCTGGGATGCTGATCTGGGCAATGTGGTCTGTGTGTGGCTGGAAGAGGCCAGAGCAGGGCCGGCTTCCTCCTGGGCACAGCACCCCTGGGTGGGGGCTGGCATGACCAAGACCGAGAGAGGTGCCTGAGGAGGCCTGAGGGCAGAGGCTGCCAACTGACCGCCTGGCTGCGGGGCCCACCGGTGGGGCTTCCTGAGGAAATGGGCAGCAGCCATGCCGCCGGCTGCTCTTGCCTCGGTGCTCACCCAGCTGTGGGGTGGGGTGCCAGCCACTCTCCAGATGCCATTGTCCCTGGAGCCTCCTGCGCCCTGAGGCCGGAGGGGGGACTGTCCCAGGCCCGACAGGCAGCAGCCCCCTCCTCCTGGGCTTGGGGCTGGGAGTGTAGGGAGGCCCCTGGACACAGGCCCTGGAGCCAGGCTGGCCCCTACCCTTGGCCTGGTGCACTCTGCGTTCTCGGCACCAGGGCAGGGAGTGGAATGCCTGGTTCCCGGGCACCCAGCGGGTGGGTGGGGTCCAGGCAGACCGGCTGGCACAGGCTTAATGTTTAACGAGCCCAAACCCCGGGCCCAGCTCCTGATGTTGGCGCCTATGACCCAGGCTGTGCAGAACGGGGGCTGCTGGCGCTTCCTGAAGGGGGTGCCTACAGCCAGGATGCGTGAGTGTCTGGTTACCATGGAAACCGAGTCAGAACGGCGAAGAACCGAGCCGGACCTTCCCCGGCCCCTCACGTCACCCTGGGCCCCAGGGCCCTCCTGCAGCGCGAGGGCCGCGGCTGAGGGGTCCCCGACCTCCAGAGGGACCCCACCCTCCCTTCCCCACCAGGGTCGGCTCTCCTGCGGGGATCCCACCGGCTCTGCTGGCTCCGGTGCCCAGTGGCCGGGCCGGTGTCCCAAGCCTCAGGACCTTCCTCAGCTTTGAGACAATTCACCTTTCACTTTATTTTATTTATTTTTAAAAATATATATTTTATTGATTTTTTACAGAGAGGAGGGGAGAGGGATAGAGAGTTAGAAACATCGATGAGAGAGAAACATCGATCAGCTGCCTCCTGCACACTCTGCCCTCAACCACGGTACATGCCCCTGACCGGAATCAAATCTGGGACCCCTCAGTCCGCAGGCCGATGCTCTATCCACTGAGCCAAACCAGCTAGGGCAATTTACTTATTTTTAAAATATATTTTTTACTGATTTCAGAGAGGAAGGGAGAGGGAGAGATAGAAACATCAATGATGGCCCTAGCTGGTGTGGCTCAGTGGATAGAGCATCGGCCTGTGGACTGAAGGGTCCCAGGTTCAGTTCCAGTCAAGGCCACACGCCCAAGTTGCGGGCTCCATTCCCAGTGGGGGTCGTGCAGGAAGCAACCGATCAGTGATTCTCTCTCATCATTGATGTTTCTATCTCTCCCTCCCTCTCCCTTCCTCTCTGAAATCAATAAAAATATATTAAAAAAAAAAAAAGAAAAGAAACATCAGTGATGAAAGAGAATCATGGATCGCCTGCCTCCTGCACGCCCCCTACTGGGGATCGTGCCCGCAAACCCGGGCAAGTGCCCTGCCGGGGAATGAACCCTGACCTCCTGGTTCATAGGTTGCATCTCAACCACGGAGCCGCGCTGGCCAGGCCAGTTCTCCTTCTGCATCAGAGGGGAAACTGAGGCAGACAGGGCCACTGCCTTCCACCCCCGTGTCAGGATGGGATCTGTTGGCTGTGTGTGTAGGACACGGGTCTGGGCCCCACATCAGGAACTGGGCCAAAGTGCCCAGCGCCCCTGACCCCTGGCAGCGGTGGTTTGGGGAGCAGCACCCCCCCCACCCCCGCCACACCTCCAGCAGGGCCGTGCAGCCCTCCACACCCTGCCTCTGGCCTTGTATCCAAAGCAAGTGAGACTGGCCGCCTCCATCCAGGTCTCCCAACCCAGCAGCTCCTCTGCCCGGGGGACAAGCTGGAGGTGGGACGTGGGGGCGTGGCTGTGTTCTAGGCCGGGCACCTATTCCGTCGTGCCCCCGGCTCTGCTCGCCCGGGCTGCGGGCTGGCAGGGCAGGGTTAGGAGGGCAGAGTTGCTGTGCGGGGGGGGGGAGGTGGGTCGCCAGCACCCTTGGCTGCTCCTGAGCCAGAGGGAGCCCTGAGCCCCCCCCCCCCCGGGGCTCCCTGTTGCTGTGGGCACCCCGAGACCAGAGGCAGGATGTGGAGGCTGAGCGGCCCTGCCCAGGGGAGTTGGTCTGTCGGTCAGCGAGGGTCAGTTTCCGTCCGGAGGGCTGGCTCCTGCTGGGGAGTGGACCCTGGGGAGTGGGTGGGGCGGGGAAGTTCCGATAAGTCTCCGGCTGTTTGTCTTCCTGGTTCCGCTCCCCCAGAACAATGGCCAGAGCCAGGCCGGCGGCCCTGGGTGGGGGAGGCGCCTGGGACAGGGCTGCCTCTGGGAAGACCCTGACCCTGCCCTGCCTCTGCTTCCTTTCCAGATGGGGCCACCTGTCCCGGGAGCCTGGACTGTGCCCTGAAGAGGCGGGCTCGGTGCCCCCCAGGGGCTCACGCCTGTGGGCCCTGCCTCCAGCCCTTCCGGGAGGACCACCTCGGGCTCTGCGTGCCCCGGGTGCACCGGCCTCTGGGTACGGAGCAGGACACCCCCCTCCCTCCCCTGCCCGACACATCGCCCCCAGCCTCCGCTCCCCGCTCCCCTGAGCTCTGTGGGATGCGGGGACGCTCATGGCACCTCCCAGCAGCCTAGCGATCCTTCCCAGAGGGCTCCGGCCAGAGCCTGGTGGCGGACTGCGGCGAGAGGCAGCTGGTGGGAAATGCCAGGGTCACCCTGGGAGAGTTCCCCAGGCCTGGTCCCTGCAGAGTCTGCCCCACCCCCAGCACCCATCGGGTCCTCTCCATTGCCCACTCCTTGTGTACCGGGGCGCCCCGCTTGCCAGCCTGAGCCCAGAGGCTGAGTGGGTCCAGATGTGGTGGGCAGTACCGAGGGCTGCGGGGGGCGCCGGGAGTCTGAGCCGTGGGCAGGCTCCTGGGGGAGGGTGTTCCTGGCAGTGAGTGGGGCGGGCTGAGACCCATGGGCGTCTGCTTGGAGCCTGTCTGGCCTGCGGAGCCCACCCCAGGGAGAAGGGGGCCGAGCCACCAGGGCCACCCGGAGCTGCCCACCCTCCCGGTGGAGGTGTGGGGACAGGGTGGGGCCGCTCCCCGCTCCGTGGGGAGTCACGCCTTCTGGCAGAGAAGTGATGGGATGCACTGATGTGTTGTCCCATGTCCTGCCCACCCCTTTGTGGGTAATGGGTGGGGTCAGGGGCACCCCTGGCCTGTGCACACTCCCCCAGCACCTCCGCCCCTTGCCCCGCCCACACATTTCCTGGGAATGAGGCTTCTCACACAGGGCTCTCCTTCAGTTGTTACCATGGCAACCCAGGATGACAAGGGGCAGCTGGGTACCAGCCCAGTCCTCAGGCCACCAGCGCCTGGGAGGAGCCCAGACGGGGAGGGAGGCTCTGGGCCTGGGGACCAGCTCCAGGATGGAGTCACCTTCAGCCGGGGCTGCTGGGAGGGCCTGGGGCTCCCCACCTGATGGTCCCTTCTCCTCCCAGCGGGGGGTCCCCCCCAGCCCAGACTGGAAGATGACATTGACTTCCTGGCCCAGGAGTTGGCCCGGCAGGAGGCAGGGCGCTGGAAGCTCACGGCCCTGTCCCAGCCGGAGGCGCCCCTTCGGTTGCTGGAGCCTGGTGAGAGCCCCCCATTCCCCTCCAGCCCCCCCTTCCCGTCTCCCCACCTCCTGACCCAGCCCCGTCCTGTTATAACGGCCTTCTCTCTGCAGCAGCCACCCTGGGGCTCTCAGCGAGAGGCCAGGGCCCTGGCCTGGGCCTCCCCTCCACCCGGGGAGCCCCCGCGCCCACACCCCGCACCTCCCTGGGGTCTCCCGTGTCGTCTGGGCCTGTGCACATGTCGCCCCTGGAGCCCCGGGCTGGGCGCCTGGACGGCCTTGCCCTCGGTAGGTCTGGCGGGCGGGAGGCGGGCTGCAGCGGGAAGGCGCCCTAACCGCCCTCTCCCTGCGCCCTCTCCTCCCGCAGTGCTCATCTTGGCCTGCTCTGTGGCCGGCGTGGCCGCCCTGGCTGTGGCTGCTTTCTGCTGGTGCAGGTGAGCCGGCCGCGGGCAGGTGGGGGGCAGGTGAGCCGGCCGCGGGCAGGTGGGGGGCAGGTGAGCCGGCCGCGGGCAGGTGGGGAGCCGGCCGCGGGCAGGTGGGGGGCAGGTGAGCTGGCCGCGGGCAGGTGGGGGGGCAGGTGAGCCGGCCGCGGGCAGGTGGGGGGCAGGTGAGCTGGCCGCGGGCAGGTGGGGGGGGCAGGTGGGGGGGCAGGTGAGCCGGCCGCGGGCAGGTGGGGGGGCAGGTGAGCCGGCCGCGGGCAGGTGGGGGGGCAGGTGAGCTGGCCGCGGGCAGGTGCGGGGGCAGGTGGGGGGGCAGGTGAGCCGGCCGCGGGCAGGTGGGGGGGCAGGTGAGCCGGCCGCGGGCAGGTGGGGGGGCAGGTCGGGGGGCAGGTGGGGGGCAGGTGTGCAGGTCGTGCCCTGGGGTCTCAGCCTCCGCTCCACTCCCCAGGCTCCAGCGAGACATCCGCCTGACCCAGAAGACCGACTATGCAGCCCCCCCGGCGGCCAGCTCCCCCACCACGCCCAGGATCTCGGTGCGTGGCCCAGCCCCACCCAGCTCGCTGCCCAGCCCCTCCCCCCCCCCCCCCCCCCCCCCCGCCGCGGCCTGACCCTCCCTCCTGCCCCCCTTACTCCTCCCCCACAGCCTGGGGACCAGCGGCTGGCGCACAGTGCCGAGGTGTACCACTACCAGCACCAGAGGCAGCAGATGCGGTGCCTGGACCGGTGAGATGCCCCCTCTGAAGGCACCCCCACTCCAGGCCCTGCTGATCCCACCCCCAGGCCCAGCTCACTTACCCCAGAGCCCACCTCCCTGACGCCCACATGACCATGGCCAAGGAGTCTGAGCCTCCCTCCCACCCCCCACCCCCTGCCTGGGCCCCTGGCCCCTGAGGGTGGAGAGGACTGGCCGTTCGTCCCACAGGCATAAAGAGCCACCCAAGGAGCTGGACTCGGCCTCCTCGGACGAGGAGAACGAAGACGGGGACTTCACGGTGTATGAGTGCCCCGGCCTGGCCCCGGTGAGTGCCGGGGTGGGGTGGGGCGGGGCTCACCAGCTCCTGGCGGGCACTGCTGTGCTGCCCACCCTGCCCCCTGGGCCGCTGAACACCCGCCTTTGCCCTTTGCAGACGGGGGAGATGGAAGTGCGCAACCCGCTGTTCGACCACTCCTCGCTGACCGCGCCCCTGCCGCCGCCGCCACTGCAGTGACCGGCAGACCGTGCCCACCCCCTGAGGACCCCACGGCGCACGGGTGGGAGCCAGGGACCTGCATTTCCCAATAAAGAAACTGCGTTCTGACCCTTGGCCGTTCTTGTGGCTGGACTGGGGCGCCCGCCAGAAACCCCTTGTGGGGACAGGACACCTCTGTTCCCCCTGCATCTGTCCCCAAATGTGGACCCCCAGAGGAGGGCAGGGGTTCACCCTGAGGCCAGCATGGACGGGATGTGGGAGACAAGCCCCTTAAAGCGCTTTCAGATCTGGGCTTCGGTGCTGGAGACGCACCGTCGGCCTCTGGGGTCACGGGGGTGGGCCTGAGGCCTCAACCACCCCAGAGAGAGGGGCACCTCTGGGCCCTGCTGGGGGTGATCCTCGCCACCCCCATCCTTCTCCTCTAGGCCTCACCCCTCTGACACGTCTGCCTCAAGGGGGGTCGGGGGGGTGCAGGGCCAGGCAGATCTGGAGTTGCTGCTGCCCCCTAAAATCCCTTCCCTCGTATGACATAAAGGGCTGGGTAGCCCGGCGGCCTGGCTCAGTGGGTGAGCGTCCACCTAGGAACCAGGAGGTCACGGTTCAGTCCCGGTCAGGGCACAGGCCCGGTTGCAAGCTCGATCCCCAGTGTGGGGCGTGTGGGAGGCAGCCGGTCCATGATTCTCTCTCGTCATTGATGTCTCTACCTCTCTCCCTCTCCCTTTCTCTCTGAAATCAATCCTATATAATAAAGCCCTAATATGCAAATTGACCAAACGGCAGAACGACCAGTCGCTGTGATGCGCACTGACCACCAGGGGGCAGACGCTCCACGCAGAAGCTGCCCCTGGTGGTCAGCGCGCACCGCTCAGCCAGAAGCTGACCTCTCCCGCCTCTGCTAAGCCAGTCAGACATCCCCCGAGGGCTCCCGGACTGTGAGAGGGTGCAGGCCGGGCTGAGGGACACCCCCCCACCCCACCCAGTGCACATATTTTGTGCACCGGGCCTCTAGTAAAAACATATTTGAAAAAACAACCCAGAAACTAAAGTAGCCATTAGAAAGAACCTGCGAGGTTCCTGAGGGTGGGGTCTGGAGAGTGCTGGCCCGCTGGCCCTTAGGTGATGGGGGCAGCCCTGAGGGGACAGGGGGGCCCCAGAGGAGGGACAGGTGGGGTCGGGCAGGGGGTCGGTGGGCCCTTGCTTAGAGCTAATGGTTGTTCCAAAGCAGCAGGCTTCTCGGACCGGAGCCCACCCAGGCTGGGACGTCCCTCCTGCCCCAGACCCCTGGCCGTGGCCTCGGGCTGGCCCTCAGCCCTGGGCGGAGGCGGTGCCAGGGGCAGGAGCCTGGGTGGGATGGGGGTGGGTGGTGCCCACTGCTATCTCACCTGTGCCATCAGGGAGGTCAATGGGGGTGCGGAGAGCTGCAGGCCTCCGGGCAAAGGTCGCCTGGCACCCAGTGGGTCCGGCCCAGGCCTGTCTGTCTCGCCGGCTTGATCCTGCAGACCCGGAGCCAGGAGGTCCCGGGAGCTCTGGGTCAGTCCTTGGGGTCCTGACACTCACCTTTCCAACCTCCTGCTGCCCCGACCTGGACAGAACAGCCACCTGTATGTCCTATCTTCTCCCTCCTCGAAGCCCCTCCCTGTCCCCCGAGTCCCTGCTGCCCAGCAGAGAGGGTGCCCCGTCCAGTGGCAGCTGCTATGAGAGGAGCCGGCAGGCCTGGGGCAGGGGAGTGAGCAGGGGCTGCGGTCCTCCGGGCAGGGGGCCTCCCTCAGCTCAGGGCCTGGCTCCCAGCGGCCCATTGGCCCCAGGCTCACTCAGAGCCAGCCCTGCTTTTAAAAATGTATATTTTTATTGATTTCAGAGAGGAAGGGCGAGGGAGAGAGAGAAACATCAATGATGAGAGAGAATCAACGATCGGCTGCCTCCTCGCCCCACGCTGGGGATCGAGCCTGCAACCCAGGCATGTGCCCTGACCACAGGCCGGGGGAGTGGGGGGCTGCCCTGCGGCCAGGGTTTAGGGCTCCGGGAGGCCCTGGCTCCACAGGGACTCCGGAGACCCCAGTCCTGACCAACTCCGGATTCTGAGTTCCCCGGCGGCAAACCTGCCCCCACCCCAGGAGTGGGTCTTGGGGCTCAGTATAGAACAGGAGGGGTGAGCCAGAGTCAGGCACATCTGGGAGGTCCCTGGAGGAGCCCCCAGCAGGTCCCGGGGCTCCTCACAGACAGGCTGTGGCTGTGTCCCAAGCCTGGGAGCTGGGGGGAGGGAAGGCACAGGAGGGGAGGGGCTGGCGCCCGCAGGACACCCTGGGCCCAGGTGGTCCCGTGGCTCCTGGCACCACCCAGTGCTGCCCCCTTGGCTGCACCTCAGCTTCAGTGCACCCACCTTCCTGAAGGGCGGCCCTGAACCACACCCCCCCACCCCCTCTCTCCTCCCAGAAGAATAACTTCCCTCTGGCTCCCTCTGCCGCCTTCACTCCCTCGGAGCCAGGCAGCTCTGGGGCACGGCCGCCAGGGGGCCCCGGGCACGAGTCTGCACTCTGCCGTGTGCAGGCCAACCCCCGGGGCAGCTGGGCAGCTGGGCAGCTGGGTGCTGGCCCTCTCTCCCGGGGTGCCGCTGGGTCTGGGGCTGCAGTGTGTCGTCTGCCAGGGGTGGTGACCAGGGGGCAGCTGCCCGCCCTCTGTGTGGGCCCAGCCCCTGGTTTCAGCTACAATTGGTGCCCCCGGGGAGGGCTCAGCGGCAGCGTGACGGGGGTGGGGGAGCTGTGAGCGGAGTCGGGTGCCGCCTGCACCCCAGTGCATCACGAGGTCGGGGAGGAGCTGGCACAAGGGGCTCCCACTTTCCCTTTGACTCAGGCCTCTCACCTCTCTCCAACCAGGGCCTCCCGTTCTGACCTGTTTCTGGGCCAAACCTCGAAGCCCGTTTCACAGCCGGCGGGTTCCCACGGGCCCACGGCGGGCGCAGGCCCTGATGGGGGGGCGGCAGGGCCAAGGCCGCAGCCCCTTTCGCATCCACCCAGGAAGGGAGCAGGTGGTGGGTGTGGGTGAGGCCCGTGGCAAGGGTCCAACCAGCCTGGCCTGGCAAACAGGAAGGGCAGAGGGTCAGGGGAGCAGAAACCAGCCTGCGGCGGGATCAGCTCCTTCCGTGCCCCTGCCGCCCGCCCTCGCGCCCCGGGGAGAAGCAGCGGCTGAGCCAGGCCCGGAGCAGGGCGTGGCTCCCCTGGGTCCCCTGCCAGGAGAGAGGTGCCCGGGTGGGGCCAGTGGCCAGGTGCCACGTTGGTCATCTCCCTAAACAACTGGAGGGCAGGGGCAGGTGACAGCCACTTTCTCGGAGCCAGGCCTGGCTGCGTGGCCACTCCTTGCGCCCGCCAGCCAGATGGCTTCCGACAGCCCCCACAGCCCCCCTTGCTCTCTGATCTTGCACAAGGCCCTTCTGGGGGTGCGGAGCCTCCCTGAGGCCAAACTGCCACCTTCCGGACTCGCCTGCGGCCCCTGGGTCCCCCGATGGCAGCGGGGGCGCTGGGGGGGCCAGGACGGCCGGGCAGGGCGAGCCCCGGCCCAGGGCTCCTGGTAGCTGTTTCCAGGACCCAACGGGCCTGAGGCCTCCCGGCCACAAAGCACGGGGCCCGGATCTGCCTGCACGTCCAGGACAAACACACCAAAGGGCACCAGCTTGGCCCCGGGGTGCAGGCGGGGCGAGGGGTGCCTGCCATACCTGCGGCTCAGAAGAGCCCCAGCGAAAGGGGAAGGAACTGGACCTGCAGGCGGGACCCAGGCTGCCGGGGGTGGGGGAGGAGAAGGCTCTGGATTCTCGCCTTCCTCTTCCTGGAGCCGTTGCCAGCCCCCTGCCCGCCCGCCGGCCGCCAGCGCCAGGACACAAGGACTCCTTCCCTTTCCAGCCTGGAAAGCCCCCTCCTTGCCCCCCCATCCTGAGCTGCGGGCCTGGAGGAGGGGCCTGGAGCCCCCAGCAGCCTTCCCCTTGCAGGACCCGGTCCCCCCTCCCCCCGCTGGGGGCGTCTATGGATGCGTGTCCTGGGAGAGAAGGCCCCGCAGCCCCCCTGGGCCGGCCCAGCCTGGCCGCTGCCCACTGGGGGGGGGGGGCGGTGTGCCAGGGCCTCGCCTAGGCAGACACTCTCAGGACCCCGGTCGGACCCCTCCCTGGGAACCCACGTGCTGGCACAGGTGTCCTGGAAGGTTTGGGCAGCGGGGGGAGGTGGCCCAATGAGAAGCAGCAGGAGAAACCTCAGCCTCCGGGCAGAGAGCTGAGCGCAGCAGGTCTGCAGGGTGAGGGGCTGGGAGCCCACGGCCGCCGGGTGCAGGCGGTGAGCAGGGGAAGTGGGCGATGCCACCGCGGGAGAGGGGGTGGCGCTGGCCTGGGGCTCGGTGGCCTCCAGGGAAGCATGCCTGCTCCCCATGGGCGCCCTGGGCCTGGGCGGTGAGCAGCCCTTCTGGGGGGGGGGTTACCTTCACCCAGGGTGGCCTCCCCTGCCCCGAGTCCAGCGGGGGCACGGGATTGGGTGCAGCTTGGCGCCCCCTGGCACCACCTACCCGGCAGCCAGAGGCCTGGAGGAGAGGTGGGGTGAGGGTGGTGGTTCGTGTCAAAGGTCACCCCCAGGGTGGGGGCGGGGCGGGGCGGGGCTGGGAAGACACCCCATTTCCTCCCTGCCCCGCAGATGAAAGAAGTGCCCTCCCAGGTGCAGCTGTGATTGCAGGGCGCCTCCCCGGCCGTGATTGCAGGACCCGGGTTTGCTGGGTGACCGACTCTGGGAGCCGCGGCTGAATGATGCCGGTGAGTGTCTGGTTCTCGGGGAGCCCGGCCGGGAGACGGGGCTGTGGGTGAGCTCGGGGAGACAGCTCTCTTCCTGTGTCCCGTGCAGGGCGTGGCTGTGCCCAGAAGCTGGGGGCCCTGGGGGGCCTGGTCTGGCCTCGCCCTGCTCTCGGCCCTCTGGCTGCTGTGGCTGTTCTGGGGGGCTCCTGGGGGAGTCCCCGCGCCCCAGCGCACACTCACCATCCTGGTCTGGAACTGGCCCTTTGCCCACCGGCCCCCGGAGCTGCCCAGCGACACCTGCACCCGCTACGGAATGGCGCACTGCAGCCTGAGCACCAACCGCAGCCTGCTGGCCCGTGCCGACGCCGTGGTCTTCCATCACCGCGAGCTGCAGACCCGGCGGGCCCGCCTGCCCCTGGCCGAGCGGCCGCGGGGCCAGCCCTGGGTGTGGGCTTCCATGGAGTCGCCCAGCCACACGCGTGGCCTTGACCGTCTCCGAGGCGTCTTCAACTGGGTGCTGAGCTACCGGCGGGACTCGGACATCTTCGTGCCCTACGGCCGCCTGGAGCCCCGGGAGGGGCCCGTGCCCCCGCTGCCCGCCAAGAGCCGGGTGGCCGCCTGGGTGGTCAGCAACTTCCAGGCTCAGCAGCGGCGCGTGCAGCTGTACCGGCAGCTGGCGCCTCACCTGCCGGTGGACGTGTACGGCCGAGCCAACCAGCGGCCGCTGTGCGCGGACTGCCTGCTGCCCACCGTGGCCCGCTACCTCTTCTACCTGGCCTTCGAGAACTCGCAGCACCCCGACTACATCACTGAGAAGTTCTGGCACAACGCCCTGGCGGCTGGCGCCGTGCCCGTGGTGCTGGGGCCCCCGCGGGCCTCCTACGAGGCCTTCGCACCCCCCGACTCCTTCGTGCATGTGGACGACTTCGGCTCGGCCCGCGAGCTGGCCGCCTTCCTCCTGGGCATGAACGAGAGCCAGTATCGCAGCTACTTCGGGTGGCGGGACCGGTTTCGTGTGCAGCTGTTCAATGACTGGAGGCAGCGCTTCTGTGCCATCTGCGCCCGCTACCCCCACCTGCCCCGTGACCAGGTCTACCAGGACCTTCAGAGCTGGTTCCAGGCCTGAGCGCTGCTGGCAGTGGCAGGGGGAGCGGGGCTGGGAGCGGGCGGGGTGGGTGGGCAGCCAGGTGTTTAAAGCAAACGCCGGGCATCTGGCTCCCACAGGCAACCATCTGGCTAATGTGCAGGCTGGAGTCAGAGGCCAGGGCGCAAGGACGAGGGAGGAGTGGGGCAGTCTGGGCAGGCTGCCTGGAGGAGGAGGCATCTCTGGCAAAGGCGAGAGCGGCGAGGGAATTAGTGGGGTGCATGCTGTGGAGGTGGATCAGAACAGAGGCCACTGAGAACCCTGCCCCCCACCTTGATCAAATCGTGGGTAGGTCAAGGCTGTCCCTGGACATGGCGATGCGGGGACATGGGGCTGAGACAGGCCCGAAGCAGGGTCCTATGGTTTGTGGGGGCAAAACCTGTCCCCCCACCAAGCCTCCTCTGTACCCAAGGTCCCCTGGACCAGGGTGCCAGCCACATTGCCCACTCCGACCACGGTTCCGGAGCCCGGTGTGCAGCCTGGAGCTGGCCGGGGCATGTGCTGGCCGGGCCAGGCTGCTCTGGGCTTCTTGCAGCCCCAGTCCACTCGGGAGGGGCCAGCGACAATAAAGAAACACAAGACGAGGACGGCACGTGTCGCCTGTGGGAAGCACAGGGCCCCACGGATCTGCCACCCCAGCCACACAGGCCTCCTTGTCCCTCCAGGGATCCGCCCGCGCCGCCTCAAGGCCTCGCACTCCCTCTGCCTGAGCCGCCCTTCCCTGCAAACTCTGCCCACTCCCCCTGTCCCTCCAACCCCCGCTTAATGCCTTCGAATCAGAGGCCCTTCCCTGACCCCCAAAAGACCCCGTGGCTGGACAGCAGGGGCGAAGTCAGCAACCTGGCTAGGGGGGTTGAAGATGCCCCATTCTCAGGCCCGGTCTGCTTGGGGACGGGGATTCCCTCTGCCAGGAGGCTGGTGGCAGCAAGGGAGCCCCCCAGCCCCCCTGGATGCTCCTGTAGCTTGGCAGCCCTGTGGCAGGCAGCTGAATAAGAGAGGCTGGGGTGCCGACAGGAACCCCAACAGCTCGAGCAGCTGCGATAGGAGATCAGGACTTGTCCCTGCCCCAGGTGCGGCAGGAAACTCCCCTCCCCTGGCAGTGGCTTGTGGGAAAGGCCTGCCAGTGACTTCCGGCCCTGACCTAACGCACCCCATGTGCTGACCGGGGAGAAGGAAGTGTCCTCAGGCCAGAGGGTGGGGGGGGGGTGAGGGATTGTGCCCGCCACCTGCCCCAGCTGCCCCAACTCCCACTTCATAGAAGGAGCTGGGAGGGGCTGGGCGCTGCAGCTCCCCACCCCCAGGACTGCCCTTCAGTGCACGTGTGACCTCTATGTGCACCCCAGGTGCTGGCCATGGCATGACCCACCCTTCCCGTGCACAAGTGGGGAAACGGAGGCGGGGAGGGGCATCAGAGCCACTACTGGCTCCCAGGGTGCAGGGGCTGGCCTGCCCTCTTCTGCCCCCTGTTGGCCACCTGGGGAATTGCCCCTGCACCCTCCCCAGCCGGCCTAGGCTGCACCCCCCGACCAACAGGCGCCAGACCACCCCTGCGGACTGACTCCTGAGTCCCAGACGCCCTGTGCTGGGCCGGCTGCCCTCGGATGTGGCGAGAAAAACGAGCCACGCAGAGGGGCAGCCTCCGTTTCCCCCGGCACCTGCTGCCAGGGCAGCGCCGGCCCTCCCCTTCTTCCCGTGACCGGGGAGCAGCAGTCCGGGCAGCGCCCAGCCAGGCCCGTCCTGCCACTTAGTCGCCCAGCAGCTCGCTCTCCAGGAACCGCTGGGCAAGCTCGCAGGGGTGGGCCGGCCGCACCCGTTAAGGGGCGCGGGGGTGGGGTGGAATGTGGATTCCTGAAGCCTCCGGGCGGAGGCGACTTGCACGGGCGGGATCTCCATCCAGGGCGCCATCGCCCCTCCCCAGCGAGGCACCGGCCCGACTCCAGCCGCAGGGGCCGGGCGCTGACTTCCCTGCCCCTGGGGCTGCGAGGGAGGCGGGCGGAGGCCGTGACCCGGTGGGGCTGAGCCTCCCGCAGCGGCCCCCAGGGCGCCCTCCGGGCCAGTCACCTCCTGGGGCGCCTCCACCGGAGGGGACGGAGGTTGCGCGCGCGCCTGGCGACCCGGGCGCAGAGGTGCGTCCCGGGATCTGCGTTTGGACGTGGGCGTTCACATCACGCCTGGCGAGGCGGGCGGACGGCGGGCGCCGCGGCGCCTTTAAGCCGGGGCGGCGCGGACCCGGCGGGCGCGAGTGGCTGTCGCTGTTCCGCGGGGCGGAGCCAGCGCGGAGCCGGTCCGGACGCGAGACCCCGCCCCCGCGCGGGGGATGCCGAGCGGCGCGGCGCACGGAAGGGCCCGCGGGGCGCACGGAGGAGCCGGCCGGGCGCGGAGGCCGGAGCGCGGCCCCGCCGTCGCCATGGGCTTCCTGCACCAGCTGCAGCTGCTGCTCTGGAAGAACGTGACGCTGAAGCGCCGGAGCCCGGTGAGCGCCCGCCGCGGCCGGCGGGCCTCCTCCCCGCGCACCGGGCGGGGGGCGCGCTCCCTCCCCGCGCGCACGGGAGCGGACCGGGCGCGCGCGGACCCCAGGCGGGCGCGGGGGGTGGCGCGATGGGGCGACGGGCCGCAGCCCCCTCCCAGGCGGGCCCCGCGCGCCCCGGCTCCGGCCTGGGGGTAGGGGGACCCCGCCGTGCCCAGCCCGCCGCCCGCGCCCGCTGACATTGGCCGCGCTCGGCTGAGTCACCGGCGCCCTCCGCAGCGCTCGCTCTCCGGGGCCAGTCCAGAGGCGGGGGACAGGCGGCCCCGCGACCTGGGGTCGCAGAAGGCCCTGGTGCCCAGGACGGAGGGCTGGGCTGGGCCTCGATTCAGCTCCGAGGCTCCGTGGTCTCTGGGCCCGGCCCCCGAAGCCCCTGCAGGGACCTGCGCTTCCCTCCCTGCACCGTCCTCTGCCCTTGGGCCGCCTCCCCGCCCGTGTCCACCCCCCTGGCCCCAGTGCTTCCTCCCCCCGGGAGTGTCCCTGTGTCCCTGCACCCTTTTGTCCTTTGGGGAGCCCCCCCGAGGCGGATCCACTCTCTTACCCCCCGACCCAGCCTCCTCGGGCCGGGGTGCTGTTTGGAGTTGTGACTGTGAGGGCTCAGGGCCGGCAGCTGTCAGGACTGAGCCTGGGTGAACGGCCGGTGGTGTGAATGGCGTCATGCTGGCCCTCCCCGACCGACCGCGCACCAGGGAGGCCCGGCAGGCAGCTTGGGTTTCCGAATGGGCCCTGGGAACTCTCCAGGCCGAGCCCGGAGCAGGCCAGGGTCTCGAGAGGGGCCTGAGGAGGAGGTGCCCTCCTGCCACCGGGGCCCAGGAGGCTCCTGTCTCGCCTGGCCCTGGGCCCTGGGCTGACAGCTCCTGCACCATGGGAACCGGGCTGCGGACGGGCAGCGCGGCCGTCATCACCACGGCCTGGGGCTGGCAGGAGTCCCCTGGGCACCTGGCCCTGGCCGAGAGCCAGGGCTGGGTACAGTCCCTGCCAGGCCGCCTGGGGCTGGCTGCCGCTGGGCCAGGCCTGCAGCCCAGGTAGCCTCGGGCAGCTGCCCTGACTCAGGTTCTGGGTCACTGCGGACAGCAGGGGCGCGGGCTCAGGAGGAGACGGGGTCCTGGGATGCATTAGTATCAGTCCCCCCCAGACTTGGCAGGAAGGCCACCCCCCCAGGGGCTGCTGGGAACAGGGGCTGGAATGATGGCCCCTGCATCCACGGGGGACCCCAAGGCTCCAGGAAGGGAGCAGTGGCTTGCTGGGCACCTGGCCAGCAGGTGGGAGGTGCCCACTGTCCTGTAGGCAGGAGTGGCCCCACCTGCTAGGCGGGCCTCCCCCAGAACCCTCCTGCGCCCCTGCCCCATGCAGCCCAGGGGCTGGGCAGACCAGGTGGGGTCCTTGGCCTGCGGTCGCTGGCACAGGTGAGAGGCCTCCCTGGCTGGCTCCGTGGGGTTGGGGCTGGCTGGATGCGGGGCACGATCCCACTGGTCCCCCACTTCCCTTCAGCGTCTCGCCCTTCAGAGTGGACCCTGGGCTTGGCCAGCAGAGTTAGCCCCTCGTGCTGTGTGCCTGGCCCGGGGGTGTGGCCTCTCCCCTCTTAGCGGTACGGGGTCTCCCCGGGGGCCGCAGGATGCTCTGGTGGAAGGACTGGCAGCACCTCCATCCTCAGGTCTCACCTGTTCTGCCCTGGACCCAGCAGGAGGGGCTCAGGCCTGGGGTGGGCACCCAGGCTCCAGGGACAACATGGGGGCACTGGCATGGTCTCAGGAAGAGGAGTTCGACCACCTTGCAAGCCCCCGGGTGGGATGCCCAGGTGGGGCTGGGCCGGTGCTGCCTGCCTGTAACCAGATGCCCCTCTAGCCACCGCCCTCAGGCAGGCCTCTCCTCCTCCTCCCAGCAGCCTGTGTGCAGCGTTGCTATAGCGATGAGGAGGCAGCGAGGCCTGTTGCTGCAGTTCCCCTCGGGAGGTGCCCCTGGCAGGGCGGGTGTGGGTGGGGCTGGCGGGCGATGACCCCGGCCTCCGGAGTGGCCGCTTGCACACAGCCACCCTCGCTCTGTGCGCCTGCAGGTGTGCCGCAGGCGCCTGTCCCTAGCCCCGTGGGTGCCCACGATGTCGCCCTGGCCAGCCCTGGGCTGGATCCTGGCTCGGGGAGGGGGTGGAGACTGGCACGGCTGGGGTGGGTGTTCCAGGCCACAGAGCTCTATTGTCAAAGGACAGTAAACACAGCAGCAGCCGCCCGCCCGGGGTGGGCTCGCACCCTGGGCCGGAAGGAGCGCCCGGGGAGGTGGCTCGCACCCTGGGCCAGACGGAGCGCCCGGGGAGGGGGCTCGGAAGCCTGTGTTTGGTTGGGGGGTGAGGATGAAGGAAACCTGGTGCTTCTGAGAAGAGCTGGGTGGGGGTGGGGCCAGGGCGTGCCCTGGGGCTGGGCAGGGGGTTCCCCCAAGCACAGCTGGCCTGAGACCCTCCTCCTCGCCTCCCCCTCTGAGAG